TCCCTCTATTCTTCCCTCTGTTATATTATTACGGTGTTCTTTTGGAGGGAAATATCAACAGAGATGGGTCCGTTACGGTTTAAAGTATTAGTTTCCAAAAAAAACGCATTTCGACAAAAGTGTCGCTTACGATAATTTGGCGAGTGTCGCTTACGATAATTTGGCGGTAAGGGCTCGAGGTATCCTACAAGGACTTCCAAACTAAATGGTTTATCAAATGATTAGGTTTATTAATAATCGTATTATCTATAACATTTTCAGTGTCAATAGTTTTAACTCTAACTTATAACATAGTCTTAGTCTTAGTAGAACGGCGGGCTGTTTCCGCAACTCGACATCTAGTGCCTATTTTGCGTAAGGATTGGCATCAGTCCTGCCATCCCAGCTCCTCCAGAAAGCTCAGCAGTCCCCGAACGTTACTGCAGGCCTCTACTATAGTCTTGGGGCTTCCCATCAGAGAAGTCTTTTGTCTTGCAACGCCTCTGCACTCCAGCAGCACATGGGCGCTCGTCTCCTCGTCCTCCAGGCAGGCTCTGCACAGAGGGCTGTCAGAAATACCTATATTACAAAGGTGTTTGTTCAACAACTCCATAAGTTTACCTAAATTAGTATGGACACAGATTTCAATTTCATACCCCTACGTGTTTCCACTTTGTGCGTGTCACCTGTTGTATTTTTCGCTGTCAATATTGTGTTTCTAAAATGAATACTGTTATGAGAGACACGCATCGAAATCTCTACACTATTTTTATGGCGTGCCGCAAGCAATTTTTTACCAATATTGCCAATCTAGCTGGAACAAAGTTCGAAATGGACGGTTTTGCGAGATATTCGAGTGGAATACCAAATTTCAATAGGGAAGATGGTTGGTATATACCACCAGCTTGGGAACCTATTATACAGGAGATAAAATCCCAACCCCGAGCACACACTGCAAGACCATCAGATACTATTAGTTCTTTTTGTTTGCATAATTTAACATAAGAAGGAGATAGAAAGCCTCTCTTGAGTTTGTTTCGCCGGTTCTTCTCAGAAAGGTCTCCCAATTTTGGAACCGGTGGTAGTTTACGGTAGTTAGGGTCAAATAAATAAACTCAAAATTACAAAAAATAATTTTAAATAAAATACTTTATTAAGTAAATTAAATAATAAATTCATACATAGACAATAAATTTTAAAAATCGAACAATGAAATAACCAAACGCTCAATAAAAGTCTTTCGAAGGTAGCTCGACAAATTAAATAAAAGTTTTATTCTGACGACGTAACCTGTAAAGGCTACGAAACGTCAATAAATAAAATAAAGTTTCGTGCATTAACCCGTAAAAACTAGTTTTATTTAATGAGTGATGTGCGTGAAAACCTAAGAAACAAATATGGAATACTACGCTATATTCATTTTATAAACGAAATGATTATTGTCTCCACAGATTTTGTTGCTACCCGTTGACTGATATTGAAAGGTATTTTAGAATGAACTTACAAAATTAGAACAGTGAAAAATATAGTCATTTGAAATATGTACATCTGTCAACACGGGATTTTATTACACTGTAGAAATTGGCATGCACTATCTACCCCATAGATGTTTTATTATAAGTTTTTATTCTTATAATATTTATTTTTTAAAGCATGTAACTGCTTGATGTTTAAATCTAAAGAAAATATAACTAGGAAAAATTCCACGCGGACCAGGCAGCAGACGGGACTCGAACCCGCACCCTTCGCAATCCGGGCGAATGCACTGACCAATTATGCTATCACGGACCGCGTCGAAATTCCTCTAGCTTTCCGTCGAAATATTTAAGCTGCAAGGCAGCGCCATCTCTTCGCATTATAGGTAACCCACAATGTCAAATGAATACTTTTACAAGTATTAAACATTTGAAAGAAGTTATTATTATGTTATATTAGTGGGACGATTAAATGATAAGATTTAGAAGATTTATCATTGCGGTGGTATCCTCGTATGTGATCGTTAGGTGCTCTAAATTATAGTTCTGCAAAGTGATACCTATGTGCGTCATACTTTTGAACGGATATGAATCGATTATACATATAACCTGGCTGAAGTGCAAATAAAAGAAAAATGTAGAAAGGGAATTCTTCGTACTAATTCTTTTGTGCAGATAGGTAGTTAAAGTGCATTCGCCCGGATTGCGAAGGGTGCGGGTTCGAGTCCCGTCTGCTGCATGGTCCGCGTGAAATTGTTTCTAGTTATATTCTCTTTAGATTTAAACATCATTAACGACCTCCGTGGCCGAGTGGTTTGTACGCCGGGTTTCATGGTGTCGCCGACTCGAGAGGTCCCGGGTTCAAATCCCGGTGGGAGCAGATGTTTGTGTAATGAATATGAGCATTTGTACTCCAGTCATGGATGTTTAATATGTATTTCTATAAAAATATACTTATATATGTATAATATATGTATTCTATCCGTTACCCTAGTATCCCATAACACGTGCTTACTTTGGGGCTAGGCTAATTGGTGTGAGTGTTGGAAATATTATTTATTTATTTTATTTATTTAGTTATCAAGCAGTTACATGCTTTAAAATAATAAAAATTATAGTTAAAGTCTTTTAGGCACTTGTTCCATTGCTGACGAAGAACGAGATGAGAATAGAGCTAGAAATAAGAAACGTATTGACGATCGGAGGGAAGCGAGTGTAGTTCCGATAGTTTTATCGCCGGGCTATAAGAACGAGATGCGAATAGAGCTAGAAATAAGAAACGTATTGACGATCGGAGGGAAGCGAGTGTAGTTCCCATAGTTTTATCGCCGGGCTATAAGAACGAGATGCGAATAGAGCTAGAAATAAGAAACGTATTGACGATCGGAGGGAAGCGAGTGTAATTCCCATAGTTTTATCGCCGGGCTATAAGAACGAGATGCGAATAGAGCTAGAAATAAGAAACGTATTGATGATCGGAGGGAAGCGAGTGTAGTTCCCATAGTTTTATCGCCGGGCTATAAGAACGAGATGCGAATAGAGCTAGAAATTAGAAACGTATTGACGATCGGAGGGAAGCGAGTGTAGTTCCCATAGTTTTATCGCCGGGCTATAAGAACGAGATGCGAATAGAGCTAGAAATTAGAAACGTATTGACGATCGGAGGGAAGCGAGTGTAGTTCCCATAGTTTTATCGCCGGGCTATAAAACGAGATGCGAATAGAGCTAGAAATAAGAAACGCATTGACGATCGGAGGGAAGCGAGTGTAGTTCCGATAGTTTTATCGCTGGGCTATAAGCGAGTGTGCGAGTACACAGGTCGATTATCCGCGCCACTCACTCACGGAAGCAGTTCTGAAAGGAAATGCACGCGCGCGCAGTCTATCGATCTAGCGAGCATTACTGAACGAGTATTATCCGTGATAGCGCTTGTCGCTCAGTAACAAACTAATAGAGCGAGTTTTCGCTGGATGTGTGAACATTCAGCGATATCTATTGTAAGTTTCTTGAGCGAGAAAATAGGCGTTAGTTAATCGCTTCCTTGATCAGAGCTGACAACCATCTGATGCTGTGTATGAACAAAAACAAACACTGTGTTCATTTAAAGCCAAATTATAGCATCGCCAATATTTGATTATGGAAGCGATGTTTACATTTATACCTATCTCTAATCCCCCATTCTGAACCACTAATATACCTTTAAATCGTTAATATGTACATTGTACAAATATAAACTTACTAGGCTCTGTGACGTTGTGTGTTTAGACAAGCATTAATGACAAAGAGTTAAAGTTAAGTTATATGTTCAAATATTGTTAAAAAGATATTCTAGAAATTAATTCGCTTAAAGATCACAGCTCATTAGACCCACCTGGCACTCGAACAGCACCACCTTAACTCGTATAGTTGATATTCTTTGTGTAGATTTCTATGCTCACATGCTGCCTCCGATTCCCCCCACACAGGCCACAAACACCAACACTACACAGCTAGCAAACGTGCACACTAGCTTAGCATTAGGCAGACACCGGACCCGTAGGATAAGAGTGCGAAGTCCCGGTCTACACACGACACGCTATACCAGGTACAGGTACGTACCTGGGCGTCACCCCCCCAGAGCCGAAGTCCGAGTCTCAGGTTCGAGTGGTCTAGAGGCTCCAGACGGAGAGGAGACTCCCCCCGTGGGGAGACGCCATCCGCCTGGAATACCTCTAGAGGCACTTGCCAATTCTCGGCTTGAGGTCCCCTTAGGATCTCGCCGTCCCCAAACCCGGTGACGCTGTAAAGGTCATATGCGACCAACAGCATACACACTCAAAAAAAATACTCACATGTCATCGAGCTGTCCACCCATTGCCCGCGCGCGGAGAGCTCGTTGACTACCAGTTGCTCGCACGCTTGCTGCTGGCCGCTGGTTGTAAACCTGCTCCTGAATGGATCGCGCATTGTTGCGAGTCCAAAACGAATTTGATTTTTTTCTTCATCAACCACGACAGCTATTTGATGGCTTAAATAGTTGTCGCACGTATTCACGGTATGTAGAAATAAACATTGTGACAACACACGTGTAAACCTACTGACGATCACTGCTTAATTTTCGCTGACAACGCGGAGTCAACTATGCGGTGGCGCGGCGTCCACCTGACGTTCAGGTGGTTGACAACGAGGCGTACATCCGACGTTGGCTGGTTGATAACGCAGCGTTCACCGGAGCTTGTTCGAGTGGTCTGGAGGCTCCAGACGGAGAGGAGACTCCCCCCCGTGGGGAGACGCCATCCGACTGGAATACCTCCAGAGGCACTCGCCAATTCTCGGCTTGAGGTCCCCTTAGGATCTCGCCGTCCCCAAACCCGGTGACGCTGTAAAGGTAATCTGCGACCAACAGTATACACACTCAAAAAAAAAAAAGTTCACCTGAGTTTGCTCATCGACCACGGGTGAACGTCGCGCAACGAGGCGGTGCCGGGTGACTCTAATGAGCAGTATCTACCAAGTTTACTCTGGTAATCGATGCTCCAGTCACATCAACTGTTCTTTTTGTTCCAGTTACGGTATACGAAGGTGATACCCTGAGTTTGCAGCGCATTAGCCGCACCGAGATGGGGGCGTACCTCTGCATCGCCACCAACGCCGTGCCTCCTTCCGTCTCCAAGAGGATCATTGTTGATGTTGAATGTAAGTACTTTGATCATTGTTATAAACTTTCATGGTTACTAGTATTATAATAATTTGCAGGTTTGCTACTATATATAGGTACTATGGAGTTCTACCCAGAATGGATAGAACCTGGGGACGTGCTTATTAATTAAAAGATACTGGTAGAGATAAGTTATTTATTTCATTCAGGCTAATATAAAGAATTTTATCTAAATACGAGAGGTTTTCTTGGTGCCTGAAGATCTAATAATGAATGGAACCTTCTATCAAAAAACAGACGATTCCTTATTTCAAATCTTAAAATCATGACATTAACTTTTTAATATAACTGCCAACCGTAGGCATTGCAAAAGCAAAGAGTTTACCTAAACAAGGAGGTTGTAACATCACGGACGTTACATCCCTCCGGCACCTCTAAAAAAAAATTGTTTTGTCATACCAGATGACCGAACAAATTTTTTTTTTTCCTACCTACTACATCGAGAGGGTTCGACAGTCCTATCTAAAATTCCTACCTGCTTAAGGACATAAATACAACTGGGAGGTGGCCTTTACTACAGACTAGCCCTCACAATAAGTTTGCAAAACTTGCAAAAAAAACTTTACGGGAAAAGAACCCTAACTGTTTGCAAAGTTTTATTGCAAAGACTTTACGGGAGCAAAACCTTAACAAAATCCCTCGTACATCTCCCCCCTAACCTTAACTTTACTTTACTTTACATCGACATCAGTCGGCAAAAACAAAAAAACAAAGCTAACCCTAGCTATTCCTTAAATTACCCAAGCAATTTTTATTTTATCCCATCTATCAGCAAAACTTTACCCTATCCCATTTATTAAACCATTAAATATCAAGAAAATTTATATTTTGAAACTTCATTACTTCCCATACTAAGTAGATGTACGAAACGAAATTCAAACTATTTCCTAAGATTCGTAAACATTAACTGGATTTGAGCAAAACCTAAAAGAATTTATAATTAATGTTTACTTTCGTACATCTTTAATAAAGATACAGACGTGGTCCACCACTTTATTGTCTTGTACTTTATTAGACACCCATGATGTGCAAACGTAATAGAAATTTTGGATAAGGACATCTAGCATCAAACAAGATTAAACCCAATTCCCATGGAATACTAAGGGTTCCCTACCCCCAAGTCAAACTACTACAAGTGACGATTTTGACGAACGCGACGCGACCAAATTGAAACGAAAACGACGCGAATTCGTAGAGGGTGTCTCCATCATCTTCAGGGTGGATCATCGTCAGTATCGCTGACGTCTGCATGAGCGCCAGCCTGCTCTCTCTCGGGAAGTCCGCATCATGTGGTAGTACATAAAACAATCAAGAAAATATTAGTAAAATTCTTTACACCATTTTTCTTCAGTCGAGTAAGTTAATATTCATGAAAACATTAAGATTATGATAAGTCTTTATACCATCTTTTCCATAGTTAGGTAAATCTTCAAAATATAACATTATTATTCATTTTTTTTAACCTATTATTATTATTTATTATTATAGGGAATCGAACCCGTTTCCTTTTTTATAACAAGGGAATTTTCTTTATGAACCTATATTATCCTATTATACATTATTAACTATATATATTCTATCCTAATGCTGAATTAATCCTATCAATGATCATATTCAAAGTCAATTGAATAATTCCAAGTTGAACAGAGAATCAAACCTGTTACCTATCATTCTTATGGTTATTACCATATCTATAATCCACCTACTCAACAAATTACACTAAAGCTAACAATTAAAGGAAATGAAAATACTTTAATGAAACTAACTATTAATCTGTCATAAACAAAATGTGTAAAAGTTCCTTTTAATATGTATATTGAAAAAAAAATCTAATAAAATGACAAAGTTATATTTAATATGCTTTTGAAATAAAATTCTAAAATGACTATTGTATTGAACCTCATTTACATACCACCATTGCTTTAAAACAATTATATAAACAATATATTGTTTTAAACTTTCATTGTCACTAACATTATAGATATTAACGGGATTGTTACCATGTACCTTGTTTTTTATGAGTCTCCGATATTTCGGCACTGTTGCAAGCGCCATGATCACGGAGTAACTGAAGTAATTGCGGGTAGATGTTATTGGCAGACATATCGCATTCATATAAACAAACTGAAATAAAATCTCATTAGTAACACATTATTATTATTGTACTATCAACCTATTCGGCATAATATAAATTTTCATCATACACCGAATTATCACTATTCCTTTCATTATTCTTTTGTGTATATTGTCTTTTAAACTTGCACTTAATATGTTTGATTATTAATTGTTAATTATAAAAGTCTACTATCGCATTATTTCGAAGTAAGAAATCCTGTCCTAAGATGAGGTTATGCCTAATATTTTCTACCACAAGAAAATCATGAATGAATAACGCATTGTCTATCAATAATTTTAGGTTGACTTTCCCTATAACCGACAATTATTTACCATCGACAGCTTTCAACTTCATATCGCTTTCATCAATTTGTTGATGAATTCGATTAACTGTGTCTTTTGACACCATAGACACTACAGCACCACTATCAATGAGCCCTACAAATTTCTTATCACGACACGTTATATTAATTAATGGTTTGGACTCACTTGTATATTGATTGCAGTTTTGTAACGGCTGTGAATGTTGAACTTCTTCATCAGCCATCGTCATTAAATTTTCTTCATATAGTTTTCGCTTTGGATGCTTCTTCTTCTTTGATTTAAGCTTCTTTTTGTTCGTGTTACTGGAACAAAAATTGCGGGGAATCAAATGTTCGGGAGGGACAATGGGATGAGATGGGACACTTTGGGAGGAAATAACGTTGATTTCCTTCTCCGGTTCTTCTTCATGCCTTATTATATGCGAAATTTTCGTCGCCTCGAAGTGAGCAAACGATGGTTGGATTGGCAGATTCCAACTAATTTCGACGTTTTCGTCCTCAAAAATGTCCTGCGCTTGTCGCAAAACTTCCTTTAAATGCACTCTATTATTATATAATTGAAATGCGAAAAGATTTTTCGTATTTAAATTCGCATTTTTCAAGAACTGTCTAATGAAGCATTTGTCATCGATGACAGCTCCTGCTTTTGTGGTCAGCTCATCTAATATATAAAAAAAGGTCAATGGCTCTTCTGACAAGCCTTGTCTTCGTGAGAAAAATTTTTCCAACGCATTTATCGATAATGGAAATTCCTCACAAATTTTCTTTTCTAAAATCTGAAAATTCTCACAAGACTCATTAATTTTTTTATAGAATAACAATGCAGGTCCACTTAAATATGCCGACAACACAACTCTTTTTGTATCATCGTTGAAATTGTTGATGGCGGCGATGATATTAAATTGACGAAAGAAATCGGTTACATCACCTTTTCCGTCGAATGTGGTCCTGGTCTCCATCTTTATAAAACTACTTCTTTCTTGATTTAAAAATAATTCTTCATTCGCGGTACTTGAATTTACCCGGCGCCTCCACCATATGGAGTTCTACCCAGAATGGATAGAACCTGGGGACGTGCTTATTAATTAAAAGATACTGGTAGAGGTAAGTTATTTATTTCATTCAGGCTAATATAAAGAATTTTATCTAAATACGAGAGGTTTTTTTGGTGCCTGAAGATCTAATAATGAATGGAACCTTCTATCAAAAAACAGACGATTCCTTATTTGAAATCTTAAAATCATGACATTAACTTTTTAATATAACTGCCAACCGTAGGCATTGCAAAAGCAAAGAGTTTACCTAAACAAGGAGGTTGTAACATCACGGACGTTACAGTACCTTGTTTATGCAAGTCCTCGATATTTCGACACTGTTGCAAGGGTCCTCCGCGATCATGGCACTGCAGCTTTAGTCAATAGTGGGTTTGCTTCTACATACCTACCTTGTTTTTTGCGAGTCTTCGATATTTCGACACTGTTGCAAGGGTCCTCCGTGATCATGGCACTGCAGCTTTAGTCAATAGTGGGTTTGCTTCTACATACCTACCTTGTTTTTTGTGCGTCCTCGATATTTCAACACTGTTGCAAGGGTCCTCCGTGATCATGGCACTGCGGCTTTAGTCAATAGTGGGTTTGCTTCTACATACCTAACTTGTTTTTTGTGCATCCTCGATAAATCGGCACTGTCGCAAGGAACCTCCGTGATCATGGCACTACAGCATCAAAGTCAAAAGTGGGTTTGCTTCATATACCTACCTTGTTTTTTGCGAGTCCTCGATATTTCGACACTGTTGCAAGGGTCCTCCGTAATCATGGCACTGCGGCTTTAGTCAATAGTGGGTTTGCTTCTACATACCTAACTTGTTTTTTGTGCATCCTCGATATATCGGCACTGTCGCAAGGGTCCTCCGTGATCATGGCACTGCAGCATCAAAGTCAAAAGTGGGTTTGCTTCATATACCTACCTTGTTTTTGCGAGTCCTCGATATTTCGGCACTGTTGCAAGGGTCCTCCGTGATCATGGCACTGCAGCATCAAAGTCAATAGTGGGTTTGCTTCATATACCTACCTTGTTTTTTGTGCGCCCTCGATATTTCAACACTGTTGCAGGGTCCTCCGTGATCATGACACTTGCAACAGTACTATAATCACAAAAACATGGGATGTAGTAATCTCATTAAATAAAGCAAAGCTTCAACGGTTTAAATGCGTTAATTTATTTGTTTCTTAACGTTTCGCATCCTTTTCAGGCTGCTTAGTCAGAATTATGATGATTTAATGAGTGTTGTGCGTGAAATCTTAAGAAACAAAAATGTAGTAATCTCGTTGGTGAACTATTGATACTATATTTATAATCATTGATCTTTGAGTATAAGGTCGATATTATATATGGTGCTATATATCCGACTATGCAATAAATATATTTACGAGTCATATTAAATGTGTTTATTATATACGTATTTGTTACTATATATATATGTATAATAAAATACACTACTTTATTTATTTTCTTGTGAGATGCACTTTGCATGGTTAATT